ACCTTAAACTGTTGAACCGGCAGTTCACCCGAAGCAGAGTACTGCTTCGAGTTCGGGCCTGCGCCGGTAGCAAAAAGCGGCAGGCCAGTCAGAAAGGTGCAGTTGCAGGCTTGCGAGCCTTGGTGGAAGGTAGCTTGGTTTATCGGCTTAGGCTCGTGTGAACTGGTGGTTTTTTTAACTTTGAAGTTTGGACTCCGCCACTAGGTTTTCCAGCCAATCATTTGAAGACGCGGCTTGCTTGCATGCTGCCGCGTCCGGGTTGATGAACCGGGAGGGGCCCGTTGGTGGAAAATCCATCGAGGCAAATTGGGCCTTGCATGCGAACGGGTTTGCCTGGATCGGTTTTCAGCGAAACGTCACCCTGGTACACAACCTGCCAGACGCCGCAGTGTGCAAGCTGCGTCATAGCGAAAAATGACAGAGGGCGTCGCCGCACGGGACACGAAACGAAAAACGAAATGAGTGCATCTTCTTGCAGAAAACGGCCAGGTTCATAGGTTTGCTATAAATAGTAACGAGTGTATTTTGCCACGTTTCGTGGGCAGATGCCCTCGTTTCGTTTTCGTTTCGTGTGCCGTGCGGCAAGACCCTGAAAAACATACTGATGGTTTACATCACCCTTCACCCCGGTACAACCTGCCAGACGCGGCAGCGTGCAAGCTGCGTCGCCTGAAAAAAATGACTCGGAAACGTACTGATGGTTTACTTCACCCGTCACCCTTGGTACATGCTCAGTTGAGCAATATATGGGGAGCCAAGGCTCCTCAAAGTGATGAAAGGACTCAAATGGACAATGCAGTGTCAGCAAAGCATCAACAAGCAATGCACATCCAGATACATATGAGAATAGCACAACGTAGCGCAGCGGAAGACGCAAAGATATGACCTGACCTGTCAGATACCGACGCGACACCCGTCATATGCCACACATGTGAGAGAGAGAGGAGGGACTGCATGCATAGACGAAAGATCCCTCCTTGATCACGCACATGGGGAGATACCACAGATGAGGGGATGGGGGAGAGAGGCGAGACGAAGATGGAGAGGAGGGAGAAGACCAAGATCGCGATACCGAAGTCCAAAAATAGTCTCCCTGCTGAATGTCCAATCGATGTCTGCCACAAAATGTCGATTCAGAGCTTGGGACTCACGGACCGATGTAACCTCTGCCTGTAACCTCGCTCTTTCTCTCTGAAAGAAGAAGAAGAAGAAGAAGAAGAAGAAGAAGAAGAAGAAGACAAAGAAGAAAGGAGGAGGAGGAGGAGGAGGAGAGGAAAGGAGGAAGAAGGAGAGATGGAGGGCGAGAGCAAGAAGAAGAAGAAGATGTCGTCCTCCTCGCTATCTCACCTGCAGGTAACTGCCGCCATCTACTAACTGTCGTTACATGTCTCCTCTGTGCTGCAGGGCGCTGGCGTGAAGGCCAGCTATGGCACCCAGGTAAGATCTCGGCCGACGCAGGTATGGCCTCCGCCTCACTCCCTACCTACACGTATACCTCTAGCCCTCCCTGCTGATGCAGCAGGGAGTGTCCGCAACTGGACAAAAACGGACCTGGCCCGACAGGGCCTGCCTACTTCTGTACCAGGCCAAAAACGTGGCCTTGTCCCATATGGGGGTATGCCCAACCCCAACGAGAGGCGGGGTTGGGCATGGCCCCATGGGATAGAAGATGTTCTGCAGTTTTTGTAGTTTCGTGCAATAATCTCATTTTGGTTGACGCACTCGAGAAATCACGGGTGCTGTGGAGGGCGTCATTATCACTGCTGGCAGAAATCTCCTTACCCATTCAGAAATGTGATACCTTTTTTTTTTTTTTTTTTTTTTTTTTTTTTTTTTTTCACTGTTGCGGCGGTGGATGCCATTGGTTGGATCATACGTGATCCGATGGCTGGGAAGCACTGCTCCGTGATTTCTGGCATGAGGTCTCTATTTCTTCTTGTTTTTTTGGGTGCCATTCTCCTATTTTCTCTGCCCAACAATTTGTAATGAGCCTGCCGTGCCGCTGCCACAGTGTCACACTGAATAGCCCGCATACCCTCTATCAAGTGCTAGTGGGACCATGCTCCTGGCGTACTCAGTAAACCGCCGGTACACGACCCCAGCCTTTTTTGCGTTTCGGAAAAGCTTGGCGCACAGTGCAGCACCTCCACGCCCAGGTGTACTGGCGGTTTTAACCACCAGTAGTACTTCCTAGAGTCGTGCCCGTTAACGCGCCACGATTTTAGGAAACCTACGGGCCACTACAGGAGCGCCCAAATTCATCCTACTACAGTCTTCCCCCGGATACAACGTACGGTCATTATAGCTGTATCTAGAGTGAAAGATGCCTCAAATACAGCTATAATGACCGTGCATTGTATTCGGGGGAAGACTGTAGAAACGTTTCTACTCTATTTTTTTCCGCGGCGGATAGCTGGGCCAAGTGCTGGTGGTTTGAACCGCCGGTACACGGCCCAAGTCTTTTGGAGAGATCTTGTTTCATCGCCTACGAAAATTTCGGAGGCTCAGGGCTACCGGACCACAATGGCTGAATTTTGGCAGCGCCAGCCAAAAAAGGAAAAAAACCTTAAAAAAGTGTGCGGCTGGTGGTTCGGAAAAGCTTGCCGCACAGGGCAGCCCCTCCAAGCCCAGGAGTCAGGTCCCATTAGCAAAGAGGATTGGATTTAATTCCTGAATCTGGATGCGTTTTGCTCAGAGATGCAGAAAAGCAGATCAATCGCAATTTTCTGCATCTTTCCACAAGCAAGTCCAGATTCAGGAATTAAATCCAATCCTCTGTGCTAATGGGACCAGGCCCCAGGTGTACTGGTGATTGAAGTGTTTCCTAGAATGTCCATAACAATCTTTGGGCTTGTCTCTTTTCTGTTGAGCTTGAGGGCGTACTCACACTAGGGCTTTTTGCACTGAGATCTAGGCCTGATTACAGCCATATACATCCATGCGTGGCCGGCTTTTTTTCCCACCCTGCAGTTCCTTTGCTTTTTTTTTCCCTTCTTTTTTTTTTTAAAGGGTGACCGTCTCAATATATCATCATTGAACTCAGCGGTCCCAGGTAATTCAGAATTGAGCTGGGCCTGTTGGTGCACCCTGGGGCGAGGTCCCACTACCAAAGAGGATCTGGACGTGTTTGTGAAGAGGTGCATAAATTCTTGAATTGATCTTCTTTTCTGCTTCTTTGCCATAAAACACATCCACATTCATATATTTTATCCAATCCTGTTCGCTTGTGGGACCTCGCACCTCCAATTTCCTCGTTCCTGTGAATGAAGTGTCCAATCATTTGCACCTGGGGTGGCTGCAATTTTCTTTTTTGGTTGTTGTTTGTTTTTTAATGCAAATTCAAGTTTTCTTTTTTTTTTTTTTTTTTTTTTTTTTTTGGGGGGGGGGGGACAAATGTTCCAGTCTATTCGTGGGGAGCAGCACGTGCTGGGAACCGGGCCCAGCGTCCCATATAGAGTTACAAAAGTCATTTGAGATACCGGGGCCATTAGCCAGCTTCAATTGAGAACCAATCTAAGAACTATTAAGAACGATTGAAGAAATTCAAGAGAATTAAAACGAGGTTGAAAAAGTATGAATGGCTACTAACCTCTTTTGGAATGCTCAGAACCGCTAGACTCCCAAACAAAACTCTCTAAAACTATCCAACACTGTCTTATTCCCTGTCGATCTCTCCCAGGCCTCACACTCCCACCCGGCTAGGTTACAGAGCAACACGTCTCGCCCCAGCTCCGGCCAGCGTCGTCCCGGCAGCAACCCTTGGTTGTCCCGTAAAATGCCCACCCCAAAGCATCCCCATATCTCTCTGCCAGGCCTCGCGCTCCTGCAGTCAGCATGTAGCGGACCCACCAGGTGTGGTGCTCCGCTGGTGACAGAGATGGAGATGGAGGAAGAAGGAGGGAGCAAGGTGCACAGCGCAGCTCCCCCACGCAAGACTCCAACGCACGTACTCCAAAATGTGCAAGTGAAGAATGAGGCTGAAAACAGACAATGGCTGGGGTATACCCCAGCGGACTGATGGGACTGGACTGGACTGGCTGGTACCGACAGACGTACCGGCCTGGACTGGCCTACCCCGGATACAACACAGGCCTGTGAGAACAGGCCAAGGGGCTGGTCTCACAGGCCAACCCGAGGTCCGCTACACGATCCTCGGCCTGTGATGGATCGCCTAGATACAAACATGCTTCCRCCAAGAAGCGGAACTCTACCAAAGAAAAGAAAACCTGAGTAGTCTAGGATGCGGAGCAAGCTCCATGCTGAGTCCATGCGATGCAACCTAGGATATAAAATAGCACAAAACAACAATGTCACAGCTAACAGCCTAAGTGAAAGCAGAAGCAACTAACTAACATACATGTCCTAGGAAAGCAAAAGCAACTAACTAGCATACATGTCCTAGGAAAGCAGAAGTAGTGACAACTAGATCCTAGAATGTTGGAGGCACTAGCCTCAGTCTGGTAACAACTGACTAGTGTACAAGTCCTAAGAACAGCAAAAGCAGAACAGCTAAATCCTAGAAATTTCGGAGGCAGTAGCCTCAGTCTGAGAGCAACAAAGCAATCAACAAGACAACCATATGTCACATGAGAAGTGTGCCGCAAACCAAAGGGTGGGATGGTCTCTGGTGGTGGCGAATGCAGCCTAGGGGTCGAAAACTCCTAAGGGCATCCACACATAGTGACAGGGGAAAACACATGTCATCAGGCTCAATGAGGGTAGGGAACTGGGAGCGAACAGAACCAATGACCCTAACAGATAGACCATCGGGGCGGGTAATGCTCGACTAAGGGGTGACCACTATGGAGGGTCGACCATGCAAGGGAACAAGGGAGCCTGGTATACTGGGCGCACCTAGATGAAGCATGCGGGGCTGCCTAACTAGGACGTGAGGGCCGGCGAAGGGTAGAAAGATGATGGATAAGGGAATCATGCAAACGAATCCTACAGTGAGGGAGGTCGGAGCGAGATCCGTAAGATGGGAAGCCAGGGCAACGCTACGGTCCCGATGCCTATGCGTATACCAAGGGAGAGCCCAACTCAGAGGAACCCGACTAAAGGGAGACCACCATGCGACACAAGCAGGGTACTGTACAGGGTAGAGTAATAAGAGAGTGGCGCCGTCTGAAGTAGGCAGAGTTGATCGTGATGAAGTCCATGAAGCTGCCGATGACGTCCACGATGAGAAGTCCGGAATGCCGTCGAGGAAGAGTTGCAGCGTCGACGAGCTGAAGTAGCAAAACTGATGTGGATGGAGTACTGAGAAGTCAAAGACGTGGGAAGGTAAGTCAGAGTCAATCGTCGTATCGAGCAGGACGACGACGAGTGCGCTGTGGACGCTCAGAAGTATCCGGCTGCTGCTGAAGGTCTGCCTCAGATGGAGCAGGCTCGACTTCTGCGGTCTCCTCAGCCGGAGGAGAAGGAGGAGGGTCAGTGGGCTGAGGAGGAGCAGTGAACCCAGCACGACGAGCACGGTCATAGGCACGCACCAACATGCGAGCGTGMTGCAAGTGCTCGAGGGGCTCCCAGGTAGCCTCCTCATCAGGGTAACCCTTCCAACGTACGAGATACTTGACGTGGGGAGGGTTGTCGTCGGTGACTCGGCGACCAATGATGTCAGAAACGAGGAACTCCTCGTGACCGTCCACCATGATGGGTGGAGGGCGCTCGTATGGTCGTCCAGCGAAACGCTCAGACAGTCTGCGGTAAGGACGCAGTAGCGAAACGTGGTAGACATCATGCGCACGAGCCTGGCGTAGGTAGTCGGACAGCTTCACACGAAAGCTGACCGGGCTAGATGCCGTATCAGAACCGACGCCCTGGAGGATGCGGCATGGGCCAAAGAAGCGACGCCGAAACTTGCGAAGCGTGTCCGCTTCGAGCTGTAAGTGGCGGGCGTCGATAAGCACATCATTACCGACTTTGAATGGATGATCCATTCTCGATCGGTTCGCACGTGCTGCCATGCGAGTCTGGGAAGCGGCTATGTGCTCATGTGTGGTCTTCATAATCGACGTCACGTGTGCAACCCAATCATCCAGCGCGCGACAACTCGTGTCAGGGTGCATCTGGGACGGTCGAAGGAAGTCCGCGAGAACACGAGGGTGATAGCCGAGGTCGCAATAGTAAGGCGACATCCCCGTGGCTGGTGAGACGGCGTGGTTGTCGGCTATCTCCGCGTGGGCAAGATGAAGATCCCACTGCTGGTCATCACGAACAATCTTTCGAAGAATATCTCCGAGAGTCTTATTCGTGATCTCGGTCTGACCATCAGTCTGAGGATGGTAAGACGAGGAGAAGCGGAGCTGAGTGTCGTATACCTCGTGGAGCCGTCTCCAGAATCGGCTGGTAAAGCGCGGGTCACGGGCAGATATGATGCTCAGAGGTAAGTCGTGGTCACGCACAACTCGGTCGAACACGATGTCGGCGACCTCACGTGCACTGATGGCATAGCGACACGGAACAAAGCGTGCACGCTTCGTGAAGCGGTCGACGATGACCATGATAGCATCATGACCGCGAGGGGTCGGAGGACGAAGAGGACCGATAAAGTCCATCGAGATGAACTGCCAACGACCCTCAGGGATAGGAAGAGGCTGGAGCAAACCATAAGGCAAGTGGTTCGCACTGTTCACCTCCTGACAGGTCGGACACTCTGCGACGTAGTCCTTCACAAAGTCCTTGCGCTTCGGCCAGACGTACAGGCGGCTCACACGAGCCAACGTCTTGTGGAAACCCATATGACCGGCAGCTGCCTGGTCATGGAACTCTGCTGCTGCTCGGACACGTAGCTGTCCAGTGGAGGGAACGCAAATACGGGGCTCTCTGGT